GTTTGTTGGCCAACAATTTCATACAAGTTCACATAAAACCTCACCTGCTACCGACGTGGTCAAAACGAAGACAGAGACCTGTTTATGTTCGCACTTTGATGGTGAAACGTTCTACAAAAAAGGAAAGAAAAGAAAGATCTTTTTTTTGCACAGAAAGTTCTCTCTTCAGTCTCAAATGAGTTTCCGCTCTCTACCAACGAACACCGTGAGCAAACTGCGCCTCGTACAGTGTCAGCGGTTTTTTATTATTATTGTTTTGCTTTTAATTAAACCAACAAATAACCCCTAAAATTACACTGACATAAAATATGTAATGAAAAAGCAGGAATATTGTACATACATTTGCAGGCGCGAGGTGTGTGCGTCTTCCTTTTCTTCTTCTTGTTCTTCTTCTTTCTCCAAGCAGAAAAAAACGCCTTTCTGTCATTGGTCAGGTTTCCCGCTCATTTTTTTTTTACTGTATTTGGATTTACAGTAAATTAAAAATACTGTATTTTAATGGCGCCAAGAGGATATTTCCCATAATGCAATTTTAAAATACAGTAACATACTGTGTAACTGTTTTACAGTACAGTTCATATTACAATTAAATACTGTGTAATTTACAGAAATCGCTAACAGTGTATATTGCAAAAAAGAAACACGTGTTGCCACAATAAAAACATTATTATTATTATTATTATTAACATTTGGAGTTTTAATATACTACATTTAGTGTTTCAAGGTGCTTTTGTAAATTTAATGAGAAATATCACATCTTTCAAACCTGTAATGTCTTGAAACATCACACAGTTGTGCTGGTTATTTAATTATTTAGACCATTAAGTGATGTTATAATTCTTAGTTAGGCCTAGTTATTTTTCTGTATTATCCTATCTGTGCTCATACTATTTTCTTAGATCTGTTTCCTTGCATGTTGGGATCATGTACAGTATTCACTCCCCTGTGCAGACCACACAATAAAATACATAATGCTTACAGAAAGTCTGCGTCTATCATTGATTATGTGGGTAAAGGAAAGAAGACAAGACTTCAGACACATGGTCATCATCTTTAGAACACATAGCTACTAAGTGGTCACCAGCGGCTAGTGCAGAGAACAAAACACTCATATAAACAGGTTCTTTAACTATGACTGTAGTCCGACTCGCGAAAGAATGATTCTAATGAGTCGGTTCTTTAAAGTGAATCAACAACATGCAGCGCTAGTGGAGTCCGATTCCCGATCGAATGACTCTTATGAGCCGGTTCTTTCAAGTGACTCGAAAACACTTGCGAATCAGTTGGCGCGCTTGTAAATTAATCTCTCAGGACGTCAACGAACCAATAGTTTGTGTGACTGAATTTTTGTTTTGCTGTAATCAGTAATATTTTATATAAATATGAATTAATAATCGTTAGTGGAACTGAAATAGTTAAGAAGAATCAGAACAGGAACAAGAACTGATGATACATTTTCTAACGATTTCCAAAAAGACATTTCCGTCATCAAATACTCAGTTTCAAAATGACTCCAAATTCACGAAATGACACTTGAATGATGAAGTTCACTTCCTCAAGTACTTCACGCCCTGCTTATCTGTCTAAAATACACAAGCGTAATCTGTCTGTTAGCCTGAAAGAGTCATATTAGCATTAGGCCTGCTCCTCCTTTTTCCCCGGCGCACAGCAATTACGTGCAAACTACCAGTCCCATGATCCCCGGCGTCGTCAGGCAGGAAGAACGTGTTAGCAGGGGCTCATACTGATCCAAGTTAGGAGCTCTCAGCTGCTGGCCTTGGCCCATCATGTAAGTGCCTGCCGAGGTTTCTTTGCAGAGCGGTTGCAGAAATCTCTCCGTTTTCGTTGCGTGCAATTGAAAGGCCAGCCTTTGCACGGAGAACAAGTTACCCGACGCCCAAAGGCTCCGACTGCATGAAGATCGCGGCTTGTATTTTGCACCTTTGTTGCAAGCAAGCCCACTTGAAGCCTCGCTGCGAGGGATAGATGGAAGGAGGGAGCGACCAGGAAAGCAAAGTCTTTTGTGCTTCCCCTTCCCCCAACCCAAAAGAGGAGATGTCCGTGCCAAAAGGAGGTAGGTACTTTTTTTTACTCAACTGATCCGTGCAAAACCTCGGAAATGCAGCAAGCGTTGCATGGCTTGCAAAGTGCACGGCTGCAGCTTCATGGTGGCCAATGCATTAAAAGTTTGATGGCTCGCGAGGGTCAGTTGCAATGCCTGTTTTAATAATCTGCCCTTTTGCAGAGTTTTTGGTAAGGCGATGCTCTCATTAGACACTCGCACAGGCGCTATTTGCATTCTTGTTGTGCCACGATTATTAAAAGAAACGCCTTCTTTCCGCGTTAAGGAACTGCCTAGCCAGCAATGCAAAAGTGATTGTGCAATGACAACGCCGTCCGCACCCGACTTATTCACGCGCACGAGGCGATTTTCTCTCGAACAATGTTCGATTGTTACGTCATGACGGCCTCGGCTTCGTTCTGCACATTTAGATTAGCTCGTACAACTTCTGACGTTGATGCATGCGAGGTGCATTAGATAACATGCAACTTTGGCCGACGGGTGAGTGTGCAAGTGCAATAGGGAAACAGGGACCTGACAGCCTGCTTGCATGCCATGTTGAGCATGCAACCATTTTTATTAGTTGCGCGTAATGGAAAATAATTCGGACGCTCTGTCATGCAAGCTTTGTTCCAGCAGTAATGCATAGGTAGAGGCTGCAAAAATAAGGGGCTAAATATAGTTTTGTTGCTGCAAACAGTTTAAGGAACAGGCTTCAGATGTGCTACACAAGACACAAGAAAAATACTGTTTCCTATTCCAAGATTACTTGATTAATTGTGCATATTCTAAAATGGACTTTTACTGGCATTTGTTCACCTGTTCATGCACAATCATTACACTCGTTGTATGCAAATTTGTTGAACGCATTTTCATCTTTTCCACGTACAGTGCCCCACTGCATGAAGCTTTGCCTGCTTCAGACCCTGACCCTAAATTGACCCGCCAAGTTATGTGACAGGATGTGACACAAGTTAAATTACTGGCTGATGGACATATTTTTAGTTATGCATTTGTCATCATATGGTCAAAAAATGGCATGCAAAAGTTGATTTGACCATCTTTTAGTGTCTTTAGGTTGCAGCGCTATATTTAAAGTACTTATTTCAAAATTACAGACGTTTTAGTAAACTGAAGCATGTCTTAAAATGATTAATTTGCCTTGAGAATTCATGCATGTATATCAAAACCCTGCAGTATAGCGCTCTTTAGTACTGGTGCACGTTTCAAACTTTTTTTACCATTTAAATTTTGGAATGCATGCTCCGAAAGAAGTATAATAATAATAATAATTCTGACCAAAACACAGGGTTCCCAGCACTGCATGCTTAGACCCCTTAATTACACTCCATGGAGCCTTTGCAACATATCTAATGTCCCTGCTCTTTCAAGGAAGTACTGCATAGAGCCCGTGTGTGAGGTTTCTCACACCTTGGGCTGAATTGACATACATGCACAAGCCCAAATTAAAACTATGGGCATCAACTGTTATACTGGGTCCATTCCTATCGAGAGGCAGATTGCAGCGCAGGAGTATTTACATTTTGAGAACAGAACACTCATGGATCATATATTAGTAGGCGTGGTTGAAGAATGTGTGATTCTAACGCCCTAATGAGGTGATTTTGCATCGTTGAAAGAGCAGTAATTGTGTTGTTGTTGTGTAACAGTGACACACCTGAGGAACATTTGAGGAACTAAATCCTAATGAACCAAGCCTCCGTCATGCAAACAAACACGGCTTTACCTTTGCATGAGGAGCAGGTAGTGGATTGTGAAGGGCAATGTTTTAGGGCTGCTTGATAGTGCAACTAGTTTAAACTTAAATATAAATGTATTGTATGGTTACTCCTTAAAGGGATAGTTCACCCAGTGTTCAATTACTTATGTACTTCCAAACCTATATGCATTTCTTTCTTGTGTGGAAAAAAAGAGATATTATGAAAAGCTGTTTTGGACTTTTGGACTGTTTTCACTTTTAAACATTGCTTGATCTGTGCGTATATCTCTCCTGATCCAGACGAGACGACTTTTTCACTGGAGAAAGCAATATTATGGATAAGATACTCACATTTTCGCTGAAGCAACAGTTTGAAGTTATTAATGATGGATTTGTTTATTACAAACACACAGCTTTTCACTTTACAAGATGTTAATTGACCGACTTAAGTTGTGTTATAGATTGTGATATTTTATCAGCAATTCGGTCTCTCATTCTGACTGCACCCATTCACTGCAGAGGGTCATTTTGTGAGCAAGTGATGTAATGCTACTTTTCACCAAATCTCTTCCAATGAAACAAACTCTTCTACATCTTGGTTGACCTAAGGGAGAGTAAAACTTTCATTTTTGCATGAACTATTCCTTTAAGAATTTATTCTTAATTTTCTTCCATGCACATGCATGCATGTAGTTTTTTTTTTGTTATGATGCATTGCACACTAAAACTGTGATCTGAAGTGTCAAATGCCTTAAAGCTGCATAGTTCAGCATAAAAACTGAAAGTCAGATTATAAAACTGATTGGAAACAATCACTTTTAAGTGGATGCACGTA